CACAATAAACGCACAGCCTGGCCTAATATTCCAAAGCAGTTGGCTTCTGACGTTGGAAATGCAGACAAATTCTGTTCTGACTTTACTGCAATGTCCAGATAATGATAAACACTTGCATAATAAAAAACAAACACAAACTGAGGCGCAGCAGAGGCTGAGGGCGGCAGTGAGGGGGTGAAGCGGTAGACCAGCTCGCTGTTCCCGCATTCCTCTGTACCCCTGTGTCCTATCTGAGCACTCTGAGGACAGGGTTACCCCCTCTCCAGCCCACCTGTGAGAAGGAGTCCACCACTCCTAGTCCCACCAGGGCAGCCAGCTGTCTGGTGAGCTGCCTTGGAGACCTGGATGGTCCAGGGGTCCTGAGATACTCCTGGCTAACGAATGGACTGTCCAGAGGGTGAGACCCCACTTCCCAGGAGACCCATGACAGGCGGGCAGCTTGGTGGATGCTCACTCAGGCCACATGAGGGGCAGGGCGGCGAAAGGGACTAACTTACATGATCGGACAGGCAGGAAGGGAGAGCTGGGCACCGTGGGAGTATGGGACTTGCCAGGAGCAGCAACACCAGTGCAGGGGCGATTCCAGCCCAGGGAGGGCTGGAGTCTTGGCTGGCCTCCCTAGTGACTAGTCAGTCAGGGGCATTGGGGCGCCTCAGTTGGCTTCCCTGCCCCTCTCAGGACCTCAGTTTCCCATTCCAATGAGGTGCGAGGTGGGGGTCATAAGGCCACAAAAGAGGCTTGGGAGAAAGACACCCACAGGGAGAAAGAGAGAAGGAAGCCTACCTGGCTCCCTCTTGGTGCTCCCAGGGGGCCAGCACCCAGCTCCTCTGGCCTCAGCCAGCTAGGCTGCCTTCTGGAAAGGCTCAGAGCCCAGGCTCTGGGAAACCTCCTCCCTGAGCAGCCAGGTCGGGGGGCCCTGATGAGGAGGGCCAGGCAGTGGAGGCCCTGGGTGCTCAGCGAGTGTAAAGGCCAGGCCAGTGGAGGACGTGTGACTGCTGGAGGATGGGGGGATCAGCAGCTGGAGGGCAGTCCTGGTGCCTATCAGCCCTGCACTGTGGCTTTGGATGGGGCAGGAGGGAGGGAGCCCTGGGTACTGTCTGCTCTCTTGGCCCAGGGCCTGGAGTGGCCATGGGTCGGGTGGGGTGAGGCGAGGTGGGGTGGGGTGACCACATGGGGGAAATGGGGCTGGCTGGTCTGGGTCTCCAGGATTCCCACAGCTCTGGCCCTGGAATGAGCTGGGCTGGGAATCTTTGCCAGATCACCAACTGCACATTTGTCATTCATGCGAGGACAGGGCCCTTAAAGCCCAGACTCACGTCCTCCTAGCCTGCACACTGCCTTAGTGGCCCTATCTGGTACCCCGGGTGTGGTTCCCACCTTCTGAAGTCCCAGGTGCTCAGCTCTGGAAGGGGAACTGATCTCCCACCATCCTCACAAGCCAGTACCAGTGAGGATTCTGCTATTAGTACCCAGAGAACTAGAGGCCCAGTGGAGGTGGTCCCTGGGAGCTGGGGAGAGATGTCTGCATCTGCTGGCCCGGCGTACCCTGTTGGCCTCACTCAAATCAAAGAAGACTGGGTGCTTACAAGTTACAGGCCCCTGTCCTTACCACAGGCATGCGATGGGGAAACAGGCCTGGAGAAGAGAAGGGCTTGCCCAATGTCATTGGGGTAGCAGGACTGGGTCCAAGCAAAGGCCATGTGATGGGTTTCCAAAGCCTGTTTGACCCAACTGGGCTCAGAGTCTCTGCACTTGGAAGCCCTGAGCAGCTCAGGGTGGCTGGCATTGGGCCTCACTTAAGGAGAGGATGAGTGAGGCTGGTGGGTGAAACCGCGAGGGGGGGCGCGTGTGGTGGAGACAGATCGAAGCCATTCATCTTCTGCCAGCATCGGAGCCAACGCGCCGAGGTGCGCCCGCGATCGATGGCGCCCGAGCTCAGGGCTCAGAAGGGCCGGCGCACCCCAGCCTGGCCCTGCGCGCCCTCTAGGGCTTCGTGGGCTGCACGTTGCGCGGCAGTTCTCTCTGGTTTGTGCCGCCTTTGGTGCGACCCCCAAGACAAACCTCGAAGATAATTATAGGGTGGGGCCAGGCTCCCAGAGCGGAGTTAGCCTAATCCAGTTTTGGATCTGCTCTGTTACAATGTTACAGTCCTAGCGTGAGGGGACAGCGCTCTGGCCTTTCCCCCAACTCTGAGAACATCCTCTCTTCCCACCTCCTAGCTCCGTCCATCCGACCTGGGCCAAGCCCTGAGCCCGGAGGCCCGGAAGCCGCTCTCCAGCCCAACTTTTAACTAATTCTGTCGAAAGACACGTCTCTCCGAATCCACTCCGCACTTGAGCCGCATAGACTGTGCTGGCTCTGACGCCGGCGGCCAGGCTTAGGCTGGGTGACTTGGTTCTCCGCTTTCCCGGCAGGCGGAGTGGAGGTTCTAGACCCGACGCCCGCACGGCCTTCACCCTTTCCGCGTCCCTCCCCGGCATCAAGTGGCTCCCGGGAGTCGGTAAGGCCACCTATGCCAGACTCTGGTGCGGACTGTTCTGCCGCTAAGGGAACCGCCCTGCCGACCTTGGAGGCAACCGCTGAGCTCAGAGGCACCCTGCAGTCACCACGCGACCTCGAGACATAGGCAACAGTCGAATAAAACGGCTGTATCGCATTGGTAAGCCTTTTAGCTTAGGCTTTAGTTACCCCGTTCTAAAACGTTCTAAAAGGGCCGAGGAGGCTGTACTCCTCGTGGTTCGAAAGGAGAGTCCCGGCGACCTTGGCAGTCCCAAACGGCATTGCCCAGGCGCAGCACCGAGGCGGGGCCGCGGGAAGTGCCGCAGGGGCCCGGCTCGGGTGAGTGCGGTGCCTGGACCCTGGGAGCCAGAGACGCGATCCGCTGCTGCATGCCGCTGCATGCGGACCCGCGCTGGGCTCGGCAGCCTCCGCGGGGCCTCTGGCTGTTCCCAGGTCCTTGTGAGGACTGGCAGTGATGTGTCCCTTGACTGGGTGAGGCCAACACAAAGGCGACAGAGGCCCAGAGAGTGAGGGTTCCAGGAGGAGCCTGAGTCCGGGCACCGAGGCCGGGGGAGAGGAGCGGGAGGGAGGATGGGGGGCTCTGGCTTTGCCTGACGGGCATCCCACTTCCCCTTGTGGCTACTGATCAGGAGCAAGGCCTTTGGAAGTGAGTTTTATTTCTTTGTATTGAAGCCTGTCTAAATCCCTCCCAGACAAAGCCGAGTGAAAACTAGTTTCACAGTTTAACAGTGAGAAGCAGTCAGGGCAGCCCCCAGGCAAGGAGGTCGCCCAGACCCAGCCCTGGAAGGGTGGGAGGGAGGCTGAGGGAGGCCTGGGGGAGCTGGGCTGGAGGTGGTGCTGCTGCTCCCTCCACAGGAGTTTCTCAAAATGCCCACCCTATCATGCCACAGAGCAGGACCTGGTGGGGCAAGGACAGCTGAAGGCGCTGGGCAGAGCCTTCCCCTATAGTGCCTTGGCCTCAGCGTACCACTGGAAACCAGCCACTGGTCAAGTGCAGGAAATGACTCTGGGTCAGGACTGGATGTTGAGGCACACAGATGGGCGACACCCCCCCCCACCGCCGAAAGCCACACTGCTCTGCTCCTTCTCCAAGGTTGTCCTGAGCTACCTCAGGTGCCCCAGGCCCAGCATGTGGGCTGGGCGCTGCACCTCAGCCAGGGAGTGTCTGTTCCCAAGTAAAGCAGGGGAGACCATGGGTTTTCTAGGGGGTTCAATTCTGCCACTGAAGCAACCCTTTCAGATCCTGATTGAGGTCTTCCCCCTAGGCTCAAAAGCACAGCAAATAGCATCCCTCCACTGCACAGGGCAGATCCACCCCCGATGTTCACCCAAAAGCAGGGGGCTGATGGAGGTGGGGTGACCCCAGTGATCCAGGCCTCTGGAACAAGCACAGGCCCTGAGCTGGGTGCATTGCTCAAGGGCAGTCCCCCAGCTTGCCAGGGACTGTGGACTCTGGACGAGGCCCATGGCAGGAACACGGAGCTCCCCACCTAACCTTGAGTGCAGTGTTTTGTGTTGGCCCAAAGAAAAATTCCATATGGTTAGCTATGGCTCTCAACCTCGGGCACAGGAGAAAGGGTAGTGAACACAGCCGCCACACAGCTGGCAGCACCTGTCTACACACACCAGTGGTCAGCGGTCAGCGTTGATCAGGTTCTGCCCACACCTGCCTCGCCACTTGGGTTTCAGTAAAGGCCCTAGAACTTCAGGACATACTGTCACCTCTTCCTCCCTCTCCTCCCCTCTTTGCACCCAAGACCTTCTCTGAGGTCCAGCTGGGCCTCCTGCTGTGGCAGAAGAGAGGCTTTGGGACCGTGGAGGATCTCCAACCTCCAGCGCTGTCTGTCCTGCCCACCCGCACCAGGCCCAGCCCTGGGCTCTGAGTGTCCCTGGTTGGCATTGGAAGGTGCCCCCAGGAGGGCGGGCACCCACCACAGCCTGCTACCAAAAGAGCAGTCCCTGCAGCAGTGATCACAAAGCAGTGAAACGGTCCAGAAAATGTCCCTTTTTATTCCATACGCAAATAAGTAGATTCACTAAAAAAAAAAAAAAAAAAAGAGGCCGCAGCCCAAGAGAGAAGCCAGGGTCTGGTCCTCTCTTCAGAATGGACAATTGGATCCCACAGGTCCCTGGTTTTCTCTCCACCAGGGCTCACTGGAGGGGGACAGTCATAGCCCTCCTGCAGGCTTACTGTGGGGTCCCAGGAAAGGGACATTTTGTGTTGGGGGTTAGCATGTGGAGGGCAGTCCCCTCACAGCGCCCTGGACAGCCCGTTTGTAGTTTTCCTGTGCGCTGCTGGGCTTGGCCCGAGGGCCGCGGCAGAACTTGCTCTTCGGCTGAGGCCTGTGTGCCTGGCGCTGGGGCTGCCAGCGGCAGATGATCTTTTTCCGTGTGGGGATCCGGCCTTGTAACTGATGGGGGGGTCACAGTCACAGGCGTCCCCTTACATTCTAGACGAGCTCCGACAAGGGCTGGTGCCCCAGGCGCAGCCCTACCCTACCGCAGCCCCACGCCGGCGCCCCCGCCGACAACGCGTCCACAGAGGTCCACAGTGGCCGCGGGGAGCGGGCCAGCGAGTGGGGACTCACACCAGGCCCGGCATCTGCGCCCGCAGAAAGGGCACGGAGGCGGCGGCCGGGAAGGCGGCCAGCGGGTAAGCAAGGGCCCCGGAGAAGCCGAGCAGTGGCGGGGGCGGCGCGGGCGCGGCCGGCGCCAGCGGGAAGGGCAACGTGGCCGGGGGCCCGGCCGCAGCTGCGGCCGGGGGACTTTCGTGGTAGAGCACCGGCACGCGGACGAGGCGTTGCGCTCCCGGCGGGGACAGGCTGGCCGCCTCCAGCTCAGCAGCCAGCTGCCGCTTCCACTTGTTGCGGCGATTCTGGAACCAGATCTTGACCTGCGTCTCAGTGAGCTGCAGGGAGGCGGCGAGGCCGGCGCGCTCGGCGCTGCTTAGGTAGCGCTTCAGGTCGAAGGTGGACTCGAGCTGGAAGACTTGGCTGCGGGAGAAGACTGTGCGAGTCTTCTTCTTTCGACTGCCACCAACGCCAACGCCACCGCCACGCGCCTCCCCCGTCGCCACAGGGGCATCGGCCAGCTCCGCCGCTTCCTCCGCGCTGGCCGCGGGGCCCCGGGCCGCCAGCTCGGCCGCCTCCCGCTGCACCGCTTCCGGCCCAGGGACCCGCGGCCAGGCTCCCTCGGCACGGCCCATCTCCTCGCCCGTCTCTGGTGAGTCCCGGTCGCTGGCTGCAGGGGAGAGAGGGGCACCGTGGTTGGTTCTAGGGTTCTGATCCCCAGACGTAATCACTGAGGCTAGCTGTCCCCCACCTTGAGGTCGCCCACAGCCACAGCAGGGCGATGTTACACGCACAGGGCTCCGCATCCAGCACCATTGGGGACCAAGAAAGGCAGAGCCATGAGGACGCAGACTCGGAGACCGGAGAGCTGCTCCAAAGCGACACACGCAACACGCTCACACAGAAATGCACACCCACATTCAGAGGACAATGAAGCAAAGGAGAAGAAAAGAAACACCAAAATACAAACAGACCCAAAAAGCAGGCTGACCCCCGATCTCTCCCCACTCCCAGCTTCAGCACTGGCCTCCTGGAAAAACAAACAAAAGACCCGCATAAATGCCAGGACAAGAGGAAAGATGTCCTTCTGAGAAAATTGCACACTGGAAAACAAGCACAGGACACCCCCTCCCACCCAGCACCCAGCCTCACTCCCAGTCCCGGCACAGAGGAATAAAGACTTGTGGTGACATCTCCCTCTTCACACGCAGGAGCAAATGAAAGGCCTGCCCGTTTGCATGGAAACGTTCCCATGGAAGGATGAACACATGCAAATGATCCCCAAAAGATGCCAGTCAGGTGGCACTGGTGCACCTGCACTCCACGCTCCTGTATCCCTGACCCAGATGCCCATGAAGGCATGTCCACTCCAGCCACAGGCATGCTTAAAGAGAACATGGGTGAATGTTGCTCCAAGGAACGCGCAGGAACCTGCCCCAAATATCTTCTAGACTGGCGGTTCAGCTTCTAGGTTTGGGGGTACAGAAGGTCACAGGGGGTTTCTGAGTTTGTGTTCCAAGTACCGAGCTCCGCCTCATCTTCCACAGGTAATAAGAGGCCCACAGGGCTGGCAAGGGATGACCCCAGGGTTAAAGAAGCCTGCCAGGCCCCTGGAGTGCTTGTCCAGAGAGAAGAGGACAGCCATCTCAGACTGCAGGGCTCACGAGGCCAACTGGACTAGTGTGCCTTTCTGCCTTGACCTGGATCCTCTTGTGCAAAGGACAGGCCTTGGCTGACTAAAGGTCGGAGATCATGGAGGAGTTTGGCCTGGCCCTTGGAAAGCTGCAGACTCTGGTGGGGATGTGCCAGCGGTGTGAGTATTTGCAGCATTTGCACACCCATGCAAGGTGTGCAAACACTGGTGGGGCTTGTGTGTCTCCGGCTCGGCTCTGGGCCTGGTGTCCATGGAGCATGAAGATCCTGCCCATGCCCCTGCCTACCCCCATGGCATGTGTCCTCATAGTGCCCACAGAGGAGTCAGGTAGCAGGCTGTTTTGCATGATACCAGATTTGGGGAGTCCCTGCCTCCCCCCACAATATCCCAACCCACCCCCGCCAACTCCTAGAGGCCCATACATTGCCACAGGAGCTAAGCTGGCAACGCTAACCCGCATGGCGTGAAATAAGAAGGCGTTGCCTCCGCAGGGGCTGCTGACTGGGCTGCAGGAGGGGATGGAGCCCAGGGACAAGGGGAGAGCAGATTTCACCCTTCAAACCCTTTTCAGAATCACTCCCAGAAGGGCACCAAATTAAATCACTTGATGTCAGGGAAACCACAGAAGCCCTGCTCAAGTTTACTAGAAGGGGCTGGAGGGCCTGGACTTTCTGGGTGTTGGCTCTGACATGTGGGTCCTTTTGGAGGGGCTCACTCCCACACGGGAGGGGGTTATGGATGGTTGACTCCCCCAGCACACACTGACATGCACACAGATCCTGGATGAGGAAGACAGACCTTAGGTGGCCTCACAGTCTACAGGCTTGAGAGGTGAGGGTTGGGGTAGGGAGGCTGGCAAAGCCAGGGGTGGGGGGCTGAAGTGGTTTTCCTAGTGTTCCTAGGAAGGGCTTTCCCTTCAAAGGGAAAGGTCTGAAAGGTGGGCATTGAACCTGGGGAGGGAGGCAGCCCTCAGGAGGCAGATGCCCAGACTAGAGGGGTGAGAAGCCCCCACCCCCAGTCCTCCAGGCCTCAGCAAGGAACAAAGGAGGGAAGGAGGAGGGGCAGAGAAAGAAGGCAGGGGGCTGGACAGGCCTTTAGAAGAGGCTCCCTTCCTGCCTGGCATAGCCCTTGCCTGGGCCAACCAAGGGGGAGGCCCAGGCCCCTGCCCCAGGCTGGCTGTCTGTGGCGGCACAGAGGGAATGGGGCTGGGGGCACAGCTGCCATGGAAGAAGGCTTCCGTCCCCCACCAGGCCACCCCCACAACAGCAGCACACTCAGCTCAATGCCCCCCTTTATTTTCCGAGTCTGGCTCATGTGTCCTCCGTCCCCTCTTTTCCTCCTTTCTCTCTGTCACTCCGGGTTTCTCTCTCCTGTACCTCCCATTCTTTCACCCCTCCCCACACTGCTCTTTCTCCCTCCATCCTTCCATCTCCTTTTCTCCAGCCTTCTCTCCAGGTCTCCTATGTCTTTCTCTGTCCTATTTCACTCTCCTTTCGTTTCTCTTTTCTTCAGCTGTCTGTTATCCCGTTCCCAGGCCCCTCTCCGCGGGCTTCCCGCCTCCCTAGGACAGCAGAGGCCGGCGCTTGTGAGACCTTCTCCCTCGTGGAGCCCCTGTCCCGGAGCGCCGGCCTCTGAACCCGCCCAATCAGGGCTCTGTGGAGGCCCTACACACCCCAGACTCTACTCCCCAAGGGAGAGGATGGCCCAGAATGGGCGGCGACGAGCTTGAAGTCACCAAGCGAATGTGCGGGGAGGAAGTCGGGCCCAGCCGCCGGCCCACCCCTCCCGGTCCCTCACTCACTGTCAGGACTGAGGCCGCCTCCGTAGCCGCCGTGAGCCCGTGGATACCAGCGTGTCGCGCCTCCGCAGCCCAGAGCGTAGGGCGGCCCGGGACCGGGGGGCGGCCGGGGACCAAGGCACAGCGCGCCCGGCCCGAGCAGCGTCCGGGCCCGCTCCTCCCCGCCGGGTCCGGTGCCCGCGCGCAACTGTCTCCGCCGCTGCAGCCGTCGCCGCCGCGCCTGCTCAGCATCCTCGTCCTCTGGGTCATCGTCGTCCTCCTCCTCGTCCTCGCGGCCGCCGTCGCTCTGGGCCGCGCGCCCTGCGCCCTTGGCCTCGGCCGCCAGCAGGTTCTCGATGAGAAAGGAGGAGGCGCGGGCCGGCGTGGCGCGCCCGGGCTCCGTCAGCTCGTCCGGCATCGCGGCCGCGGGCCCGTCGGGCTCTGCCGGGCTTCTCTGGGTCCCGGGCTCCCGGTCCCGGTACCCGCTAGGGATGGGAGCGTGCGGCTCCCTGGCGAACGCGCGGGCCGGCCCTGGAACCGCTGCCCCGAGCGCTGGCGTCGGGCCCCGCGGGGCGGGCCGGGGCCTCCACGCCGGGCTGGGCTGGGCCGGGAGCGTGTGCGCGCCGACAGCCGGCCCGGCAGCCGCCTCGCTCTCCTCTCACGTCGCCGTTCTGGTCGCCGCCCCGGCCGCCCTCACTGGGGGCGGGGAGTGGGAGGGGCCAGCAGGGGCGGGGTGGCGCGGGTTGGGGTGGGCTGGCGGCCCGCTGAGCACCAAGGACGCCGCGACTGGCCCCAAACGCGGCCGCTGCCGGGAGACACTGCCCGGACTTAAGCGCGCAGGCGGCGGCGCGGTCGAGGGCGGGCGGCCCAGGGCGCAGGCGGGGGTCGCGCCCGATCCTGCTCCGCGTGATCTGTTCCCCGGGCCCGCGCCACCCGCGCCGGGGGAGGCGGGGCCTCGGCTGGACGGGCACCCATTGGCTGTGGGGCCCCGATGAGGAACAGGCTGGCCAATCACCGTCCGGCAGGAATCGTAATTTCCCCGCCGCGGGGAGAGTGTTGGACCGAGCGTGAGTAACCGTGTGCTTGTGTGCGCGCGCGGTATGTGCGTGTGTGCACGTGTGTGTGCGTGTGTATCTATGTGCGTGTGTGTAGGGCGGCGTAGAGACCCCGAGACTTTCAGGAAACTGCAAGAGGCTGGGCCACAACCTTTTTTTTGAAAGATCCCCCCATACAATTTAAAAATGGGAACACTGCCAAAGCGGGACTGCAAGAATGCGGCATATTTTAATATTTACGCTTAATGAAATATGCTTTCAATGCCAACTTGGCACTTTCAATGCCAATGTTCGATAGAATTCTAAGGTTCCCGGGCTCAGTCCCAGTGTGTAAGGAAATGCAACCCCACGGGGGCCAGCTGAAGCCCGCCCAATGTCACGCTGAAAGTGGTTCCCCGTCCACTCTGGCATCTCCACCACCCTCTCAGTTCCCTGGGAGGCCCAGACACTGCCCCGTCCCAGATGTCTTGGGGGCAGGCCCCATCCATCTTTGCGCCTCTGTTTCTTCTCCGTAAGAGGGTGGAGGAATTCCCTCCCGCTTGTGCAGCAGGGAGCATGGGGACAGAGGGCATCCCAGGCCCCACTGCGGCCCTCGGAGCTGTGGTCGCTCAGGGCTCACCTTCGGATCCGCTACCGCCTGGAACAGGTGACGCGCTGGTGGAGCCGGCTTCACTAGACGCGGGTTATTTCGGAGATACAGCGATCCTGCCAGTGCCTGCCCAGGGCCCCTGTCCAACTGAGTGCTGCCCGCGTTTCCAGAGATAGACTGCACCTGGGGCTTCCTCCTCGCTTTAACCTTCCAAACTACGGTGGGGGAGCATCACCCCTGTTTTCCAGCGGGGAAAACTGACGGGAGAAGGAGAGGAGATTCCCCCAGATGGTAGGTGGCTCCAGTAGGCCTGGAATTGCGGCTCCAGGCTTGCCTCGCACCTATGCTCTAGAGTCCGGTGGAGCAGCGGAGCAGTGGGGCGGTGAGGCCAGGATGGGCCCCACCAGCCTGTGGCCGTGGAGACAAAATGGTGCGTCTCTGGGTGCACCTTCTGGCGGCTGCCCGGAAGGACCTCTCGTGCCCAGTGGCTGCGTGCCCTGCGTCCTCGGGCGGGAGAAGGACTTTTCTGCAGACTCCAGGACCAGATGTTTAACCCCTGTCCTTTGATTTCCACATCCTTCCCCAGGAGGGGCAAAAGCAATCCAAGGCAGGGACTCACCCTGTTGTTTGGCCTGGAGGCAGCCACGTAGTTGGCGCCTCGTACCCCACTTTGTAAACGGGGACAAAACCAAAGTGAGGGAGTTGGGGTCTTACAGAAGAGCTGAGATCTCCCAAGTCCTGCTTCAGGGTCAGAGAGACTAAGGACTAGGGGGACCCCAGTCAGAGGGGCTGGACCAAGGAAATGAGTGCTCAATTCGTTTGGAGAAGCTCTAGCTCTGAGCAGACACTGTCTCACCGAGGGCGAGTTTGATAGGGAAACTGAGGCCAAAGAGGGGCCCAGATAAAAAGATGATGGCTGTGGGGAGGAATGCCTCTCGGCTAACTATCCAATGTATGCGGGTCGCCCTGGGGGGCCCACCAGGGAGCAGCGCCTCAGCACGTTTCCTTCCCGTCCAACCAAGAAGCCTGAAAGGTTGGTGCTGTCGCTTCCATTTCTCTCCCTCAGGCCTGGCGGGGCTTCCTCCGGGCCTGGATTCTAATTCCCTCCGCTCTGGGGTTGTGTGTCCCTAGATGAGGAGCCTCGAGTCTCTGATACTGAAAACCGCGGCTGCGAGTGCCAGGCTGTTGGGAGCGGAAGCACGTCCAGGAGAGCGGCGGCGCGGGGCGGCGCTCGCTGGCGTCTTCCCACTGCCTCTGGGGGGCGCGCGTGAGAGCGGCGCTGGGACGGGCAGCCGGCCAGGCCGGGGATGGGACGGAAGGGGAGTGCGCTCCTCCCTGGCACCCGCCTTCTGGGCGTTGCGGAGGGCGCGTCCCCAGCCCGAGCACCAGGCAGCGGCAGGCGCGCCCGGACTCCAAACCGCGGACGCTGGGTCCCCGCTACGTTTCCGACTGCAGCGGCGAAGCCCCGGGCGCTTAGCGCGGGCGTTGGTGAGTGGGAAGATCCTTGTGGCCGAGACGCAGGATTGGTGAGGCACGCGCGGCCTGGCCGGACTGATGCTCGCCCAGGCCATTGCCTCTGTACTCCGTGCTGGTATCCGGGCTGGGAGTGAAACTCTGCGTCCAGGTGAGTGGAGAGGCCAGACAGGATTGTCGACAGAGTCGGGAGTGCATAATTGCTGCTTTCGGGGCTTTGCTTATTTAGATGTGGCCGCCGATGGAAGCAGCCCGCTGTGTCGTTAGCGACCCAGTCTCGGTCCTTGGATAGGCTGGGGGCGGTCAGGATGCGCTCTGGGAGACTGATTCCCATGAAGTCGCTGCCTTCGGCTGGGGTTCCCGGGCTCCCAGGGCCTGAGGTTTCGGGTCATCCCTGGGCACTAGTCAGAATTCTGGTGCTGGAGGGCTCCTCGCCCCCAAGGAAAGTAAAGCCTCTCAAAGTCAGCAGGTTGTCATCTTCCCATGTCTCCATCCCTGCAAGTGCACCTCCAAACAGCCCCAAGCCACATCTGTACAGACAGACAGCCATCTCTCTCTCAGTAGCAGTCTGTCACCTCTCTGTCCACTTTTGCCCTTCCTTATGCCTCCTCCATCACCTGGGCCACCTCTGCTGGCAACGCCACCACCCCTCCCCCATCCGGTGCCTGGAACCGCCTTAAAATTTCCAACAAATGCCCTGCAGGAAGCCTGGTGCTCTCCTCAACTGGGTGGTGAGCTGCCTTGGGCAGGGACTGTGCCTTCCCCACCCCTGGGTCCCCGGTGCCTAGTTCGGGGGCTAGTAGCCACAGACACCCCACAGGTCAGGGTATGTGAGTCAGTGGGAATGATCAGAAGAGCATAGATGGGGAGGGGGCAAGCCTCAGCCGGCCATCACCTGTTTTGTTTTGTTTCAATCAACTTTTTTCTTTTGGAATGATTTTAGAGAATGTTTACTTTTAAATTTAAATTTTATCTTATTTTTGCTTCCTTCATCCCTCATCCATTTGATGAGGCGCATTTATGTTTACCTCACCCCATGCCACTCCAGGTACCTGCTCTTGGGTATTAATTTACAAAGACAGTATGACATTTTACAACACCTCCACTTATCGCTTTTAAAAGTATAGGTTTGAAATCTAGCCATGCTGATAAACGAAGCAATGCTTATCTCTTTTTTAACCACTATGTAGTAACACAACACTCACCCATGCCACTGTTCCATTTCTACGGCTGCATCATCTATTTCCCCAAAACTCAGTGCTGTGAAACAGCCATTTACTGGAACGCTCACAGATTCTGTGGATCTGGGCTGGCATGTCTCCAATTCCTGAAGTCTGGGTCTCAGCTGGAAGACTTGACTTGGGGCAGGACTCATCTAAGGGGACATTCGCTCATTTATCTGGGAGCTGGTGCTGGCAGTCTGCAAGAGACCCCTTCATGAGGCCTCTCCATGTGACCTGGGCCTCCTCACAGCGCAAGTTCCCAAGACAAGTGGAGGGGGTGGGAGGGGAGAGAGAGAGAAGGAGGGAGAGACAGGGAGGGAAGGGGGGACAAGGGAGGAGGAGCACCAAGCAGAGCCCAGGCTGGGGATCACACAGCATCACTAGCCATACTCTATTGATTGGAGCAGTCGCAGATCCCACCCAAGTTCAAGGGGAGGGACATGGACCCCACCTCTCAGTAGGAAGAATGTTGAAGTCACACCAGCAGAGTGTGCAATGAAAAGCACTGTTGCAGTCACTCAGGAAAATACACATGCCACAAGGATAGTGTACGCCCTACTGAGAGGTTTTCCGGTTGTTTCCAACTCTCTGCTTTTACAAATAATACTGGAATGAACAGACCCATCATCTTTCTTTATGGGCTTGGGAGTTTTTCTGGGGGTGAAAGCCCAAGAGTGGAAATCTGGGCTGAGGGGTCTCACCTCTGCTAAGCACTTCAGAATCACTGTCTGCAACAGCCATCGCCATTTCTATTTCCTCACATCTTACAGGCACTTGGTTTCATCTGACCGTACGTGTGATGCTGTGATGTGTACAAAGGGAAACCTGGCTGTTGGATGTGACAGCTCTCTGCTTGCTGAGACCAAGGCAGGGCTGAGCCTGTAGGAAACCTGCAGGTCGGGTGGGTGTGTGTGAGACAGCCTGGGAAGGAGAGAACTTGGTGGGCTGGAGTCTGGCTGGGAAGGACCATGCATGCCAAGCTAAAGAATAGGACTCTTAATTTGCAAAGCAGTGGGGAGCCACTGATGGTTGTTGAGCTGAGAGAGTGACGGATTAAAGTTGGGCTCTAGGAGCAAGGCAGTAGGTGATGAAGTCATCCAAAAGGAGCTTCCTGTTCTGGTGGAGTGATGAGCAATGGAGTCCAACCGAGGCAGCCCTTCAGCAGGGGCAGACCTGGACGGCAGTTGGTGGCGAGGGAGGGTGTGGAGGGCTCCTGGCAGTGCCTTCTTTTATCCTCTTAGCCCCTCCTGGCTCAGGCCTGGGGAGGGGTGCAGTCTCAGGACAT